ACTGCTAGAGTCTGGTTCGGATGGAGTTCTACGCGTGATTTTATTGCGCTCAAGGACGTTCTATTTTCGAACGAGTTGAAACCGAGAATAACGCAACTACTTTCGAACTTCAAACACAAATTTGATTATCGTTATTATATGTTCGTTTCTATTGTTTCAAAGATTGAATTATGTATGACAATAATATTTCACTCTATAAACAATGTTTCACTAAAATATGTGATTCAAAGGCAACCCAAATTGTAAAAAGCAATATCAAGTTCCGCGTATAAACACTGTTGTAAAGAGGCGGCGGAGCGGAATTTTAGCCAAAATCGGCTAGTAAGGCGTCATATGACACAGGTTTGTGCTGGGACAGCGCTTCCGGTGACGACACAACAGCAACTGGTGCAATATTAAAGCCATTAGACAAGAGATGTGACAAATGTATCAGTTGATCGTACATTGTCATGTGACCTCATTAATATGCATAACAGTAATATCTCAAGCAAATAGGGAAACACAACCTGTTCAATATTGAAGCTATTGCACAAGATACATGACTAACGGATCAAATAAACATATATGGTCATGCAATCTCATTAATATGCATAACTAGTTCTATCTCCAGCACTGTTACTCGTGCAACCAATGCATTTATGATGGTGTCTGACCAGAGAAATGACTGACAATTCTTTTGGCCATATATGTATATGATTATATGACCTCATTAATATGCATATCTGTATTAATATCTTGTACACTGTTGCAGATAGGGACATGTAACCAATGCAATTAATATGGAAGCTATTGGACACAAAATATGAACATCATATCAGATGGCCTTATATGATCATGTGACCTCATTGTTATGCGTAACTGTTACTATTCTAGATAGGACATTCAACAAGAGATGTCCATGTATGGTCATGGTCTCATTAGTATGCATAACTGTATTATATATTTAGCACTTTTAAAAATTGTACAATGCAACCAGTGCCATTTTGAAGGCACATTGTACAATATCACATGACAATAACAGACCATACAATGTTGTTATTATATACCCTTGGTGTTAATTTTGCAACGCTGCAAATAAGTCACACTGGGTTCAAAACCCAAAATTGCTGGAACGAAGCTATATATTTTCTTTGTTTTTCAAAAGGTTTTAATTAAATGAAATCAAAGAATAGTGAATATCTATATTTACATGAAACAATATGGCAAATAAATAAGATAACTATAATATGTAAATATGCAGATTTAACTATTTACAAAGTATTACATTGCATCATATGCAAATTTTGACAGGTGGATTTGCGAAGGTCAAATTGGCAATACACATCCTAACTGGAGAAAAGGTGGCTATCAAAATAATGGACAAAAGGAGTCTTGGGGTAAGTTTCATGTTATTAAAAAGCCATGATGATCTGCTGTATTAGGTGTAGAAGATTGACTGGCCCAACAAATAATTGGCAGCCTTTTTGTTTGACAAAAATCATTGACTTCTTTTTTTTCTTAACTCTGCTTGTAACTCAAACTTATTGAATTGATCTTTGTCATAACTCAATTCAAGATGACTGGAAGCCATTTTGTTTTTGACGAAAATCTGCAACTTTTGTTTTTTTCTGATTATATCTCAAATTCCTACTCAGTTAGTCCTGAACAAATACATGCATGTTCTAGCACAACAACAAATGTTGATCTGTGTTGGGATGTAATTCATGTTACACCGCTGACTCATCAACAATTTTGTTTCGGGGATCATCAAAATCATCAGTTTGCACAATTATCTCAGTACAGTACAATTGGGTCTTAATTTTGTTCATAGAAAATTGTCATTACAATGGACTTTAAAGAAATTTAATTCACAGTGAAGACCTGGAACATACACTTGTTTAAAAAGTGCATATACATGCTGACTGTTCAATTGTCATACATGTTTAAGTACAAAGAAGAAAGAGGGCAGTGACATTTCTAGTGGCTTGTTCACAGGAGGATGCCCTGGGATAATACACAAACCTGATTAGTTTGGGGTTGAAATCATTGTACTGTTGCTGATAGGGACATGCAACATGTAACTTGTGCTATAATTTTGTCTGTCAAGATATATGACCAAAAAATCAAGTCATCATATATGGTCATTATTTTATTAAATAGTTTTTATTGTTAAACCATAGCTACAATTGTACTTGGAACCCCCTATATCATTGCTTGCAGTTATATCTGTAAATGCTGTATTTTCTCTAATAGGAGCACTTGTGCTAACTTGATTTTACTTTAGTTTGTAGAGATTGCAATTGTATGATCAACCAACTGATCAAAACGGGGAAACCTAGTACAAGTACATGTACTAAGATGAATGTGACACATCATTGATTAATGAATGAATGTACGATTACAGTATGGTTTGTTTTTATAGGATGACCTACCAAGAGTGAAAACTGAGATAAAGGCGATGAAGGAACTGGTTCATCAACATATATGCAGGCTTTACGAAGTCGTTGAAACAGATCATAAAATATTCATGATACTAGAGGTAATGTATACATGTAAATTAAATTCAAACAACTGTGGTGTTATAAATAGTCAATTTATTGAGAACTCGGATCGCTACTCGGATGTTGTGTTGGAATTCCCTAATTCCAAATATTTGTTAAGCCAAACACCTACATTGCTTTCCAATTTTACACTTAAGACTTGAGTAAGATCCAATGTTTCTCTCTCAAGACAGCCATCACATCCTTGTTGAGGATGTACTATGTTGAAGAGGTAGGGAAGGCAGTATGGACATTTTAGTCCATCCCTGTAACCCCCCCCCCCCCCTAAAAAAATTAAATCATCCTTGCCTTTCTAATCATATTAGAGGCTGGGTTCAAACCAGCTGCTTGTAAACGTGTTTTGCTAAGTATACATTAGATATACAAGTATACATGTAGTGTTTACTTTAGTTATACCGTAAAAACTTGATTAATTCGCGGTCTCTATTAATTCGCGCACCCTTTTAATTTTTGAACGCTAATTTTTAAATGTATCCTTTTAATTCGCGGCGTTCAAAAACATGTTTACAATTGTATCCTATTAATTCGCGGGCCAGTAGATAACTCAGAATATATTGCATGCAGACATTAAAAATATACATTTTGTTTGAGTTTTTATGTTACCAGTACTTGGTGTAGCCGCAATCGCAGTTAGCAAGCAGTTTAGGTTCGGTAAAGATTTGA